GGGGGGGGGGGGGGGGGGGGGGGGGAGGGACTCCCATATGAAAAGGTCGGGGAAGCTCGTCAGAAAATTTGAATTAAACCCCTAAAGGAGACCAATCTGAGCGTAGCTCGAACTTTATTTGACCCTCCCCCCCAAAAAAAATACCACTTGAAACTGTCACCAGCCGCTGCTCAGGAAGGGAGACCGCGCTAGTAGACTGGACTCGAGAGACCGGCTGAAATCAAGCTAAAACACGGAATTAAACACGGAAGAGCGGTTTTTTACTATTATTTCTTCGAGGGCACCCTAGAGGATATTTTGGCAGTTAGCAATAGTGGCGTTTCGGTATCAACACCCTAAGTGAGACCAGACCATGCCCGACCTTTTCATATGGGAGCCCCCCTCCCCTGGACTCTCACCTTCACATCAATAGCTGGCTAAATTGTCCCTAACTTGCAAACAATTCGGAATAATTTCAATGTTCCACTGGGAAAAATACTTTTTAGTGACTACGTACTTGGATATTTGTGTCACATGAGGTAAGAGAGAAAACAGATTTTGTAATAAATAATTCACTCGAAACTCAAGCAATACAACCATATAGGGTTTTGCGATCGGATCAATGAGAGGCTGCCGAAATAACTCAGGACACCTTACAGTGTAAAAAAAAAAATTAAGGGCTCTCGCTTGTTTTGAGTCTTTCCCTCGTTATTTTGAATGAAAGACGTTTGTCGCGTTTTGGCTCTTTCTCGCTCTTTCTCTCTCTGCAGGCAACGCTACTTTTAGGTCCTTTTACATTTTGCACTGGCATTCCGTGTGAATGATCCCAACGATATTTTCCCATATTAGTTTTGGACGGTAAGTTAAATACCAAAAAATAAACGTTAAAACTCTCGCAAATATTTAAGCCTGCATGGTTCGCTCATCAATTCTGCCCAACAACCTCAACCAAAAAAATCTGCGAGTTGCAAGATCATGTCGATTACATGTCACGCGTTCCCGAAATAACGGTCACGCATCAATTTGCTGCATGTAAAACGTTAGAGCAATAGAAAGCCAACCGATACGACCCTTCCACTGCCTACCTGTGTCAGCGACGTCTTCTAATTTCCTCATTAACACATTCACTGCATCCTCCATGAGTGGAATCATCTGTTTCATCTTACCAGAAGTGTACGAAGGCGACAAGATGCTGCGAATTCGCTTCCATTGTTCATTTTTGGCCGCCAACAGGCCGCAGTTTAGCGGCGGAGGTGGTTTCACCGCATCGGAACGGTTCCTAAAGCTCGAGAATTCTTTCACTAAGATCTTTTTCAAGACTTCTGGCTCAGTGATGACAATAGTGGGCAATCGACCCAAGCAAACGGCATAGATCTTGCCATATCTCTTCATGTTTTCGTACAACATGGCGTGAAGGCCGCCGAATGTAATCAACTCGAGGACGTTTCCCAAGAACGGCCATGGTTTTGGACCAGGCAAACCAAGCTTTTTAAGCACGGAAAATCGATAAGTCCCGCACCAGTATAACAACAAGAGGAACAACGCCACTGATCCCAAAGTCATCAAAAGGTGAGATAGATTTGAGCCAACTGAACCACCAGCCTCCATTTTGCATAATTTGATAAAAAGCTGGTAAACAACTTAATCCCTTGAGACTATAGAAAGCGTGTTGTGGCGCGCTCCTAAGAGAACGACTCCTTTCTGTTACAACTGGAAGCGGGAGAAGTGAATGAAATTAGAAGCAAGCGGTACAATTTCGTGTTAGAATCTGGCGAAGATTCTCTAAAATGAAGCCTCATAAGCGGAAACCATTTTTTTGTTGACAGTGTGTAAATAGCAATAACGCAATCCTGTGCCTCAATTACCTAATTTCTCTCTAACCCGCAAAGCCGAATTCTTCAGACGCAAATGTATTCTTATTCGTTTATTATATCATCAGCCCAAAACACCATACAAGCTCGAAATAAATGGTTTGAAACTCTCTCAGACTGTATCAAACTGGATTTCGCCTAATTGAAGTAGTTACGGTCTCACGAGTTTTTATTTTCATACATTATTTCCAAATGGAACAAAAAAAGGCAAGTGACAGTGGCGGATCTAGATGAGGGGCCCGGGGAGCCCCCCTTTCCTTATTTTGGGTAAGAAAACGAAGAAATCACAGAAGGAAGAAAAGCCAGCAGGGCAAGCAAACCCACCCCTTAGCTCAAGGTCTGAATCCCCCGCTGACCATTATCCCACTGTGCCTCCACATGATACAAAAACCCCAACCTAACACTAACACTAACCCTTAACCAAGCCTGATCATGCAGNCTCTAGCGACATAACGACATAACAAGGACGTTATGCCGTTATGTTTGCAGTGTGAACATCCTGGCATAATGACATAATAGCACCATAACAGCATGAACATAACGACATAAGGAAAAAGCTGATCTTTTCCTTTTGGTTTTATGTCGCTGTTCACAATACCGACATAAGCGATATGTCGTTATGCCGTAATGTCGTTAGTGTGAACAAGGCCTTAGCCAATCGGGGAGATTGAATTTGTTTAAAGCCTGGTTCACACTAGCGACATAACGGCATAACGACATCGTCACGAACGACATAAAAAGGACGTTATCTCGACGTAAAAAGGACGTTATGTTTGTAGTGTGAACATGTAGACATAATGACATATTAGCAATATAACAGCATGAACATAACGACATGAAGATAAAACTGATATTTTCCTTATGTCGTTATGTCGCTAGTGTGAACCAGGCTTAACAGGGCTACAAATGAATATCGAGTCCTCGTGCAAAACCTTTCATATGAAAATGAGTCCATTTACATAAAAATGACCAAAAATGAACCTGTACGTAGGGGAACACATTTTTCACGAAGGCTTGTTTTAACAAGAAGGATAGTTCAATGTCCTGCACACCCGAATTTAATAGCAGAAAAAATTCGATTACATGTGAGAAAAAAGGGAAATATTCATACTTCTGATGTTCAGATTTTTCTGTTAAAATGGAAAGAATTAGTAAAGAAAAGAGGGTCACCGGTCATCTGTGAGAATAAACCGCAGGCGAGGGTTTCGCAACCGGTACCAAGCCCTTTACTTAGCGCGTGCGCTCGGTCATGACCCGGCAAGAATTGGCGAGACTTTTTTTTTCTATATTTTTGTGTTGTTGTTGTTGTTTTTCTTGTTAGGGAAACGAAATTAGACGCAATTTTTGCTGTTTGCCGTAAAAGCCATTCCTTAGAAATTCTCTGTAATTGGAACCTAGCGCAAAAAGTTCCCGCCAGTTTGACGTGCCGCTGTTAAAATTCAAATGGTTGCCTAGCGACATACGTCAATTTGACGTGTGCTTGACGTGTGAAACGAGTAAATTTGCGAGCGCACTACTTTTCGTCATCATTTTTCGTTGGTCTTCTTGAGAAGGGTCGTTACTTCTTCTACGAGAAAACTTTGAGAAATTCTTCACCGTTTAGGGCAAGAAATCTATCTTCGAAGCATAATAGTCGACAATGGTAAGTAAGCTTTCTTTACAGCTGATTACTTATTGAAATGAAACCGGAATTCAGCTTTTAGAAAGACATATTGCGATCGACCGCGGCGGAAAGTTAGCAACGGTAGAAGTCAGATTTAGCCCCGTGAAGTTTCAGTCCTGGTACCTTGCTCTGTTTTTTCCTTTCTTTCCGTTTTATTCACTGCTTGACTTGCCTTGCTTTTATAACTAGGACGGTTTTTTCCGTAAAACTCTCCAACTCTTCGCCAACGGCTCAGTTGCGCTCGAGGAACTGTAAGTAAGCACCTTCACTCACGCGTAACTTTGAAGCGATTTTCCAATTCATTTTCTGTTTCTTTTTTAGCGTGAGTGCATCTCAGTTCACGTTGGACAGGCCGGAGTGCAGATTGGCAATGCTTGTTGGGAATTGTATTGCTTGGAGCATGGAATTCAGCCTGATGGCCAAATGCCGAGCGACAAGACCATTGGAGGCGGAGACGATTCTTTCAACACCTTTTTCAGCGAAACCGGAGCAGGAAAGCATGTTCCTCGCGCCGTTTTTGTTGATTTGGAACCAACGGTAGTAGGTAGGTCTTAAATAAACCAAGCACTGGAGTTTTCACTGGCGTTTCCATAGACCTTTTCGTGAAAAATTCACCTAAGAATACCAGTTGCTAATCCCATATAAGCTTACGCCTTTGGATTGTCGTTGACAACTACAAAACGAACTGAATATTTGAAAAACATTAATAAGGGACTTAAATTAATTCATTATTGCCGCCGAGAAACGTTTTTCATGTTCAAGAGTAGAAAACTGTGTTTGGACGGCGTTATTTGAAGTATTAAATTTTTTGGATGCCAGTTTTAATTGGGATAAATATGCCTCTAAGATCAGAATCAAATGTTTTCATGAGAGGCTGTGAAATTTGATCTTTTCCGTAGAGTTCACAGCTTTATGACTTCAGCTAAGTTTTCATTTTCAGACTGAGTTAACTGGAAACAGCATGGTTCTAAGCCCTAAATACACACTGCAAGCTAATCACGGCTCTGTATAAAGTATGACAAGACTGACAAAAATTGAAAATGCAGTGAATATGGCGGGTGATTAATGACCTTGTCACAACAGCACTTGTTGCAGTTGTCAAAATATCTTTTTTTGGAACCAGTTGTTTACCAACAACTATTTCTGTGTCAGATGAGGTCCGCACTGGTACATACCGGCAGCTATTTCATCCTGAACAGTTGATCACTGGCAAAGAGGATGCTGCTAACAACTATGCTCGTGGTCATTACACCATTGGCAAGGAAATCATCGACCTTGTTCTTGACAGGATTCGCAAGCTGGTAAGACCACTTTAAAATGGGCTAGTGATTTAGTTTACAGTGCTATAGGATTGGACTGCTTTAGCAGATTGTATTTATTGCATTGACATCAGTCACAGATTTATATGGTTGTCAAAAGAAGTAGTTGGCTGCTGTTAAAAATCACCATCTACTTCATGATCTCAGCTGACTACTCTACTGATGCATCCATTAAAACTGCCTGAATCAAAAGTTTTGTGACAACCCTGATTCACGTCAGCAGATGTACCTTTGAAGGTCTTGGCCACATGGTGCTGCCTTGCCTCAGGCAACTGGTTGTTAACAAAATTCTGATCTCTCCAGAGCATGGAGTGATAAATGAAGGCGTTCCATATTTTTTAATTTTTTTACTGTACAATTCAGATTATATAACAATTGATAGAGGTAAAAACATACAAATTCAGAAAACATTTCATTGCAACATTTGACTCTAGGCACTAAATAAATTTATGACTTTTCATTTCATCACAGTGTTTCCCAGCAAGGGAGGCTCTGAGCAGGCATTTTACTCCAGGAAGGGGTGCTAGACAAAACTTTATCTTGGTCCAGGGAGGTATTTCAATTTATCAAGACTGGAACGTGCAACATATTTTCCTGCAGTCAGAGTTAACTCTTTTTTTCTAGCATTTGTTTGTAGTGAGATTCTCTCAACCAGAAATGTCGTCATAAAATTGTAGCCCCAAATTGTCCTGAGATGGCACACCCCTCCATCACTAAATTGTATCTGAGTAGCCCTTGGGATACATCATGTTAACAACATTTCCAGTGACTCACTTACTCACATGGATAGAAGAATAACATGGAACATTACTTTTTCTTTAAAATTAGGTTTGGCCCAAGGGGATGTATTTTGGGAGGGAGGATTAGTTTTTTTTTTTGGTGGATGGGGGAATTGTGGTGGTAGCTTCATTTGTACCTCTTTGCCATGTTCAAACAGAATTACCTCCCTGAATTAATAGTGACAAGAAATGGCATATAAAGTGGTTTTTATCTTCTGCTTTTCCTAGGCTGATCAATGTACTGGATTGCAAGGCTTCCTCATCTTCCATTCCTTTGGAGGTGGTACTGGGTCTGGTTTTACTTCTCTGCTGATGGAACGCCTGTCAGTTGACTATGGCAAGAAATCCAAGCTCGAGTTTGCCATCTACCCTGCCCCACAAATAGCAACAGCTGTCGTGGAACCTTACAATTCCATTCTTACCACCCACACTACACTGGAGCACTCCGACTGTGCTTTTATGGTGGACAATGAAGCCATCTATGACATCTGTCGCAGAAACTTAGACATTGAGAGGCCCACTTACACCAACTTGAACCGACTGATCGGACAGATCGTGTCTTCGATCACAGCTTCACTTCGATTTGATGGTGCCCTGAATGTTGACTTGACTGAATTCCAGGTATGGGGTACATGTGTCATATATTTTATCTGCTTCAAGCATTCAAGAATTATCTAAGTGCTAAGGTGTGACAATATGTTATTTAGAGCACACAGACAAGTTGATAACAAGATTCAGTAGCCCAGTGATCACATTCAGTAGTCTGAATGTATTAACTGAGAGTAATAGGATGTTATTTGCTCAAGGGGCTTTGAAGCACAGCCCTAAGGCACTACAAACAACTTTTGTTTCACTTTTTGATGTTGGCAAGGTTATTTCTGCCACTGGTGAGGTGCTCTTCTTCTTTTGATGGGCTTGATTTACAAGGTTTTGAAATGCACATGTAGCTTACACTGTTTACCGTAGAATTTTGTGGTTCATATAAAAACAAATTGATTTTTATCTTTGCAAAACGCACAAGTTCATGAATTTTGTTGACTTTTTGAGGACTGTTTGAGTCCCCAAATATATTTCATACATTATTTTTAACAAAATTTAAATTTTTTTTTACTCAAATTCATTTGCACAGACGATCAAAATAAAATAAAAGAAGAATTAACATATATAAACAATAGCCTCCATTTAGTGTGAAAATACGCTTGGATATTTGTCTGCAGACATTATCTGTTCCAAGAAGCGAACAGCTTTCTGAGAGTGTAGCTCGAGGCAAACTGTGAGCTCTGAGGAACAGAATGATAATGTCCAAGGACAAATATTTGAGCAAATTTTTGTGCCAACTGGATGCTATGGTGTTTATTATCCTTCAAATATTTTTTGCAACACACGCAGTTTTGAAAATTGGGGAATATCCCCAGGTTTAGCTGGGGAATATTCAGTCGCATGATCCGCTTAGACCAATCGCATGTGAGCGAAAACATTTGATGGATTATAATTACTAAAATAAAAAGGAGATATCTGTGTAATTAGGCCAGTTTATACAGAATTGTAGATCCCTTATTTTAAATAAACTGCCCGAGATAAGATACTGTCGCTTGCGTCTATGTGTGAACAGGTGGCATTGAAACAAGCTCTAACTGGGTGTCAAACGTGGCATAATTGGTCATCAATTGGTTTAGCAGACTGCAACGCGAACTTTTGTGCTCTGAAAGACTCTGAAAGTCATGTTCCCACCAATATTTCATGGTTATACTAGGCCAGAAGTAAAACTACNAATTCATTTGCACAGATGATCAAAATAAAATAAAAGAAGAATTAACATATATAAACAATAGCCTCCATTTGGCATGAAAATACGCTTGGATATTTGTCCGCGGACATTATCTGTTCCAAGAAGCGAACAGCTTTCTGAGAGTGTACATGTAGCTCGAGGCAAACTGTGAGCTCTGAGAAACAGAATGATTATGTCCAAGGACAAATATTCGAGCCAATTTTTGGTCCAACTGAAGGCTATTGTGTTTATTATCCTTCAAATATTTTTTGCAACACGCACAGTTTTGAAAATTGGGGAATATCCCCAGGTTTAGCTGGGGAATATTCAGTCACATGACGCGCTTAGACCAATCACATGTGAGCGAAAACATTTGATGGATTATAATTACTAATATAAAAAGGAGATATCTGCGTAATTAGGCCAGTTTATACAGAATTGTAGATCCCTTATTTTAAATAAACTGCCTGAGATAAGATACTGTCGCTTGCGTCTATGTGTGAACAGGTGGCATTGAAACAAGCTCTAACTGGGTATCAAACGTGGCACGATTGGTCGTCAATTGGTTTAGCAGACTGCAACGCAAACTTTGGTGCTCTGAAAGACTCTGAAAGTCTTGTTCCCACCAATATTTCATGGTTATACTAGGCCAGAAGTAAAACTACTTTTGCAAAAGGGGTCTGCGTATTGACACAGGTCAGGGTCAAATACATAGAATACTAATAGAGACAAATTGCAACAACACTAAGTAATCAGAAAACTATAAAAATTTCTCCTTAATTTAAATTTACTAATGTAAAACTGATTCACTTCCTTACTAAACAATGATAATTGATCAATTGTCCTGATAATTATTGATCAATTGTGATGTAACGAAATATATGAAATTCATAATTTCTGTGAGAAGAATGAGAATGCTACATGAGAGATTCAAACCATATGAGCTCTGTTAAAATTCTTGTGTTGCTTTACCAATTGAGCTATGAAGCCCCTATTGAATCAGATAAACCTATATTATTTGACTGACATACTTAAGAGGTATGTCTGGGTTGTGTGGACTTTCAAGTCAAGTCAATTTAACTTCAGAATATGTTGAAATTCTAGACCAACTTGGTACCTTATCCACGAATTCACTTCCCTCTGGCTACATATGCACCTGTTATCTCTGCTGAGAAGGCCTACCATGAGCAACTCAGTGTGGCTGAGATCACCAATGCTTGCTTTGAACCAGCAAACCAGATGGTAAAGTGTGATCCTCGTCATGGCAAGTACATGGCATGCTGTTTGCTGTATCGAGGTGATGTTGTACCCAAAGATGTCAATGCTGCCATTGCCACCATCAAGACTAAGAGGACTATTCAGTTTGTGGACTGGTGTCCAACTGGATTTAAGGTTGGTTAGTTCTAGTACTCCATTGTGCAGTACCAGAAAATATCTCTACTCCCCCACAGAAGGGATTGGAATTTCCCAGGGGTGAGGGGTGGGGGTTCCATAAGACCAAAACAATTTAAAGCAATGTATGAAACTTAATTGGAAAGTAATTGTGCCATCATGGTGTGATTCGTTTAGAGTACAGCCAAGTGCTCACGCTCGACCTTTCCCTCCTCTTTCTGACGTGTGGTGATCAATCAGGTGAGGAAGGAGAGTAGGCAGTTTGGTCTATTTGAAAAAAAAAGGCATGCTAAGCCCAAGGGGGTGTTGGGGTTATTAGTTGAGAATTTCATGAAGGCAGTAGTTAAAATACAATTACAAAAATTGCACGCTTGTGCAAAGTGGTTCCAACTACTTTATTGAGGTTTTTGCAAGGATGCAGTCTGGAAGGGTTTACCAGAGCTGACAGTACCTTCTCATCTTTTTAGGTTGGCATCAACTACCAGCCACCCACAGTTGTTCCAGGTGGTGATCTTGCCAAGGTGCAACGTGCAGTGTGCATGCTGAGCAACACCACAGCTATTGCCGAGGCCTGGGCACGTCTGGATCATAAGTTTGATCTGATGTACGCCAAACGTGCATTTGTCCACTGGTACGTGGGTGAGGGTATGGAGGAAGGCGAGTTCTCCGAAGCTCGTGAAGATCTGGCTGCTCTGGAGAAGGACTATGAAGAAGTGGGCGTGGATTCTGTCGATGCTGAAGGTGAAGAGGAGGGAGAAGAATACTAAACCCTGTAAACTGGTCTGACTTGACTTTCGTTTATTGATTTTGTTTTACATGGCTTGACATTTAAATAAAACTTTGACGTTATATTTTCATCTGAGAGTGACGGTGGTTGCATTATTTCTACCCTAGGAAGTGGTTATAACCTGTCATGTATTTAGAACGGTCAAAGGTTTGTTGAAAGTAGAAACTAGATTTGCTTTTTAGGAGTCGAGAACTCAAAGGGCGGTTGTGAAAATTGCTTGAACCCATTGCATTATAGCTAGACAAAATTAGAAAATATAACCGAACATTTGAAAACACCAACGCATGCACAGTTCAACACGCCAGGATTAGAAAATAACCCGAGAATGAAGTTTATTGTTTAGTTTTTATTCGTATTGCAAACAAGGAAACATTTTTTATGTTAGCAAACTGTTTTTGAAAAGATACAGACGATAGAAACATTTCTTATTGGAAACAAAATTGGCTTTTTCCAACAAATGTGTATGCGCAATACGGGTTCGCAATACGTGATACATTTAGGGAGATGTTTCCGCAACGATATATCCTACAATTTTTCAAAACGACAGGCCTTTTTTGACCACATTTCCAAACACCAGGAAGAGAGTTGAAAATACGACGCGTAGCAGAGTATTTTTGACCTACTTCGAGGTGTCTCCCACGTGCTTTTTTGACATGACAAATCTTTACAAACCCCTCCCCCGGTTCGCAGTTTTTCTTGCACGTTCCAAGTCGCCCGATCTCCGCACGGAAAAAAAATATCGCGAGTGAATACCTGAAGCGTTTTAGCGAGATTCCGCGTTTAAAATTGAGAGCTAGGGAAGGATTTTGTAAAGATTTGTTGTGTCAAAAAACATCAGTGGGAGATGGAGGGGAGCTTGAGCGCGCGCTGGGTGACGCGATTGGTACCGGTTCAACGGTACGATCATGTTGCGAAAATGGCCAACCGGCCAGTAAAACAACTACCTGACACAACGTTTTCACATCTGTGGGTTGATTTTCTAAGGCCCTCTCCACACTACGCCGGACGAATTTGAAAACGGAGCTTAAATTTTACGGTTAGGCCTGCCCTCCACACTAATCCGTCACGAAAACGGAGCTTTACGAAAACGCTCTCAGGTTTTGTGTTTTAGCATGGACGAAAAACATTTCAGTTGAAAACGGAGTTTGCGAAAACGACGACAACGCGATAATCATGCGATTTCCCTGTCCAAGTTTTCCTCAAACACAAATCCAAAATGACCGGTGATTGTTGGGTTTTCGAATTTCTCCGGTATAGCGTCAGTGGATGTGTCGTCACAGGTCACATCCACCATCCCAGTCTCGGCCGAGCGGAGATGACAACAAACTGATCAACTTAGCGTGGTCACGCATCAATTTACGCTATTTTGGCCGTCATATTTCAACTTTTTGGCTCTTTTTGTGTGCAAATTTGACTCGTTTCCGAAGAGTGTTTTGTCGTCAAACTGGCCGAAGTTGCCTACCTTGTCTCTTATTATAACACCTTAGGGCAAATTTTTCAAAATTCGTTCCAATCTCATTTTAACCCTCCAGGATGAGAGAAAATGACACCATTGAATGTTCAAGAGTCGTTATTCGGTAGATTACCCATACATTGAACGAATTGAATGTAAACTCCTGATCTCCATACAAATTCTTATATTTTAGCCACAGTTCTCCATACAAACTCTTATATTACGCTTGGGTGACCTGTGGTGTTAGAGAGAAAACGCAGTTTCAACTTTCTCTGGTGGTGTGTTGATTACAGAAAAATTAATTCACCAGTAAACAGTTTAAACTAGCATTCCCAGGAAAATTTCATGTCAGTTTGAAAATTCCTTGTGCTACTGGAATCAGCGACAAATAACGGGTTTTTGGATGGAAAATCGCATAGCAATCCACCTCTTCTTGAATGCCGAGGCTATACAAGCTGCAACATCGCGCGCAACATTTTCATTCGATGTCGCTATCACAGTTACTGAGAACGGATAGTGAGTACACATAAAATTATAATAATTGCTATATTTAAAACTGGTTCGGTCCAAATTGTGGAACTCAACTGTGGCGAGTTCTGTGTTAAAAA